ATCGGAGAAAAGACTGGGTTAACAAGGGAGCACTTGAGGAAAATCTAATCTCCGGTGGCATGCTGGCTGGGAAGGTCAGCCCAGTGCACCCGTTCTCAGCTGGAGTCAGGCTCCCTCTGCCCGGCCAATTGTCCCATGCACTTGAGATACCAACCAAATTGAAGGTGCCTTCACTCTGTCAGTGCCTTGTATTCTACCAGTTTGAACACAACTTTTCCTTGTCAACTTCTGCAGTGTTTCCACAGAGCAAATGCTGAAGGAGAGAGGTAATGTGTGAGAGCCTTTTTTTTCCCATTTGAGCAGCAAAAGGCTCTTTCGGAAGCAGTGTAAAGACTTATTTTTAGCACTGTATTCTCAAGTGGGAAGAATGACATTTCAAAATACATTTTCAATCCAATTTTTTCTCAAAGAAATGAACTTTGACTTGACACACTATGTTTGAAATGTAAAGTAAATTCTTTAAAACTGGCAAACACAAACTTTACATAGTTTGCTACTTCTTCAGTTTTTGTTTACCTCTAATTTATCCATCTGTATATCTTACCTTTGCATATGTACTACTGACACGAGAGGAAATKATATGTTTCCTTTTCCAAAAGGAGATCTAGCACTAAATTCTAAATCCAGAACCTGGATTCACCTTCATCCTCAATCAGGACATGATTCAGATTACTAACTGAAACCACATGGCAATCATTTAATTTAAGGTCTATAAAGTTTGTAGCTATATAAAGAAGTACTTTCTAAGAAAAGACAGATATTTTRTGAAATATCTAAGTCCTAAATCTTGTCAAGGTATCTAGAAGGTGTAAGAGAGTTCATAAATCTCATTTCTTCATAAGAATACACACYGCAGTTTGATCTCTTTCAAAAACAATGGTTATTCCCAAAATAGCTCTGACAAAGACACAGACAAGACTGGAGTTTGCACTGTGAGATCAGAATTACTAGAAGGGTACCGATTTACCACAAAGGGTTGTTCTTAATGATTTTAGGAATTCCTGAGACAGAAATTACTATATTTCTTATTTCAGAAGCATTGTTAATTTCTGGGAGCATACTTCTTTACCTTCAAAATAGTGAGTAATTTTTGCACTTAAGTTCTTTGTCTTTTCTTTCTTCTTCTTTTCATTTTTTATGTTTAGTGATCTTGAACACTTTCAGATATCTTACAGGATTTTGACTGTGCTCTACAGAAATAGATACCATCAAATACAATATTATAGCAATGCACAAAGAGGAAGGTCAAAATTTACTGGAAGACTGGTATGTTTGGAACCTTATAATACGCACCGACTTCTTCCTGATGGGTTCTATTGTAATAATAACAATGTTATCAAAGTTTTGAGAAATAGTTTTTCTTAATAAATTATTTCTATGAACAATTAAAAAATATATGAATCATATTTCACCAAAGTGTTAGTATACCTATTTACAATGTACTTAAATTTAAACTTTTAAAGTATAATGTAAAATGCAACATGCTGCCATATTTCTATTTCTATTTCTATTTCTATTTCTATTTCTATTTCTATTTCTATTTCTATTTATATTTATATTTATATTTATATTTATATTTATATTTATATTTATATTTATATTCAAGCATGTCTCTGTCAATATATGATGGCAATATTTTACAAAAATTCTACTTATCATTGACAGGTTTTGATCACAAACACAGCATCCAAATTGTTAGACAGCACTGACATTTACAACAAATTCAATTTTTTGTATTGTCCAGACCCATAACAGAGAATCTCTAAACCTTTAAGTGCTGTCTTCCATATTGTTGTCACATGAGATTGAAGAGAAAATCTGTTTTCATTACTTGTCATATTAAATACTCTTGAACAGGAATTGCCAGATTTTACATAATTTTTAATGAGTTGTTGTTTAGGTAAAGTAGGACAAGCTTATGGTTAAACAGTGGAGTTAGTCTAAGGCACTTTTTCTTGAATGACYGGCTTTGCCACAAACTTTACCTCTTAACTTTGAGCAGCCCTTCTCCTCTTCAGTTTTCCACATCACAGCAAATGACAACAATATTTCACTAACTCATGGGTTTGGTTTGAGAATTAACGAGGGTCCCATGTGCAAAAGACCTGTAGATTCTGGCTTCTTCTTTTCACTGTGAGCTGATAGGAAAGGGACCTGTTCTTAATTCGAAACAGAGATTCAGTGCTGCCCTTCATCAGCACATGGAATTCTCATTTATGTCAACAGCAGTTGCATTAAATACACTGAGTACATTACTTAGCCTAAAAGTAAATGAAGAAAAAGGAATGGAAAGAAACTCATTGATTCTCCTTRCCTGCTCTTAAAAAGTCTAACAGTTCATGGCAGCAGACACTTAATCATAAATAAAAATTTTTTGATAGGAGGCAAGAATTGCTGCCTGGGATTATAAATGAGAATGGAGAAAATTGTAGCAGGTCCATCTGTAGAGTACATTTAGCTCTGCTGCAAGAGCACCATCACAAAAAAATGAGGTACGTGCAAAATTCAGTCATGATAATATATCATGCTCTGTAGACATTTGTCCCAAAATAAAACAAACCTTAATGGCCTCAGCCTTTCAGCTTTTCACATAATCTCCAGTGCACACCAAGAAAACAGCTACCTGTTTCTCCTTTGTGATGTTAAGCTAAGATAAAAACATCAGAAACTTAGGAAAAATCCCCAAACCTTTAAAAGCTCAAACTTAATACAAGGTATTTCCCCATACTGGTTTTGGTCAGATATATCCATGGTGCAAGAACAGAATCGACTAAATAAGATATTATTTTTCTGGAAAGGGATTAAATGTGAGTACACAATTTTAGTTTCCTGCTTTGATCTGAGGTAAAATTTGTCATAGCAGATAAAGACATTTTTGGATTTTTTTGGGGAAAAAAAAAAAACCAAACCAGAAAGAATAACCAAGAAGCAGCTGTTTTGCCATTACCAAGCTCAGGGAGGCAAACATGCCTATAACAAGCAGGCATGTTTTAAAATTCGCCATTGCTTAGCCATCTACAGACAATGAGACTTGACAGTTCTTTACAGAAGRCAGGAAGGAGCTACAATTCTGCATAATTAGGCAATAATTAATCATTCCAAGGATAGCATCCCTGTAAATTTGGAAAACGGTAAGTGTAGCTGCCTATGTGCATGAACTAGTMCTTTATGCTCATTTAAAAATCTGCTTGTCCAAATGACATTTTTGCACTTCAGGGTGTATGTTACTGAACAACAAAGAATTTTTGACTGGAGAAAGACATTCCTTCTGAAGACCAGAAGGATTTAAAAACAAAAGGGCAGACAAGATCAYAATCCTCCCAAGAAGCAGGTTACCAGAGGCAGAAACACAGCAATGGTATTTTGACATCATCATGCATATGCTGTTTCTTCATAAAACAGTCAAACAGTGGATTCTCTGATGTTTTTTTTTCCCAGTTTTAGCATTCCCCCAAGCAATGAAGAATTTAGGGTCTCCACTTCTTAACGTAAGACAGGTACAGTTTATATACATATGCCTTTATACCTTCACTATCTACCTTTCTGCCTGTGGCTTTCCAGAGCACCAGAAAACCTTGTATCTTATGGATACCAAAATCCCGACCTGCTACTTTTGCAACTAGTGGCAGACTTTGTACATGTCTTAAGGATTGTATCTTCAGTACACATAGCCAAAGTTTTACTCTACAGTAATGCTGACTGCTGACTCCTGCCTCCTAACATTATTAATAGCTTTGACTTTGAAATGTTTCTGATGAAATAAGCTAAAACTGACCTTAAGAAAACATTCAGCATAGTATGCATAATATATATAAGTCTTTTAGCTGCTCATCCTCTTTATAAATCAATGCTATTTTCATTAAATTAGGCTTTCCCCTAATATATACTTAGACTTGGTTGGTTGCACTTAATTTCCACCTTGTCTGTGTTGTCATGCTTATACTTCTCTTAGAAATCCATTTTTAGCTTACTGTATTCGGTTTTTTCAGATGTAAGATACATTTTATGTCCTTTGAAGTAAGGTATTAACAGAGAAGTGCGCTCAGAATGATCAATTTAGTACTACAGACACCTAACACTGTGAAAGCATCTTCACAGTAACTATAGCAGCAAGCATGTTAACAGGGGGTCAAAATACGGAGACCAAACACGTTCAGAAACAGATCTACTTTATGCTGGAGACGAAGAATAAGCAGTAAATTAACACGGAACCACAAAAAACTATGGAATCAGTAAGAACACCAAAGGAGCACTCAGAGCACAAGCACTTTCAGCACACGGAACCACGAGAGGCTAAACGACGAATATTGAGCCAAAAGCAAGGAAACAAAGAAACTTTCACCACAGTTTTGGGTGGGTTTTTTGCTAATACAAAGTTTCCCCGTTTTCGCCGGCTCTATCCCTACACGCTGTAACTCAGCGCGCCCGAGCTGCAGCGCAGTTCCCAAGCACTGCAGCCCGTCCCGGCGGGGATGCCCTGTCAGGCGGGCACCGAGAGGCCCAGAGGGGCGTCCGGAGGGGCGGGGTACGCCAGCCCGGGCCCGGATCTGGACACAGGCACCTGTGTCTGGACACAGGCACTCCGATCCCCGAGCGCGGCCCGCCTGCCGGGAGCGCCTTTATTCACTGCCTTTGCTCCACCCGAGGGGAGATCTGTTAACGATTAAATCAGCGGCGGCCGCAGTTCAAAGCCCTGTCCCGGGAAGCAAAGGTGAAGATAACGTCCCTGCGGATCGCATCGAGTTTCTGCCGTTGCAATCGCTTTTAATTACCCTCCGAACGGCACATCACACAGCGATCCTCCGGGCGCCGGACCGGGCACCGCGATAGCCAGATACCTATAAACGCTTTACAACGCGCCCGCTGATTAAAAAGCGATTAGAAACTTATTTGAAGTCGGGTGTTCTCTCCGGGCACGGAGCACCTCCTGTCAGCGCCGGGGGCCGCCCCGAGCCCTCCCGCCGCCGCCGGTGCGCCCTGYCGGGCCCGCCCGCACTTACAGGTAGGAGGTGAAGACGCTGAGGTTGGCGGGCACGGCGGTGAGCCCGCGGTCGGAGCAGTCGGCTCGGAGCAGCACTCCGTCCAGCTCGCAGCGGCACGGCGCCGGACAGCCCCGCGGGCGCTGCCCGCCGCCCCGCGCTCCCCGCCGCAGCCCCGGCGGGCACAGCAGCAGCAGCAGCAGCAGCAGCAGGGCGCGGGCAGCGCGGGACATCGCCATGGGGCCCGCGGGGTACCTAGAGCCGCACGGCGGGCGCTCTCGTGCCCCGCGGCGCGGCGGGGGCGAAAAGCGGGCGCCCGTCTGGGCTCGGGGAGCTCCTGCGGCCGCCGCCGCCGCGCCGCTGTCTGTGGTAGCATCTCAGCTTACACGCTGCTTTAAAGCCCTGGAGCCGGCACCGCGCGCCCGCTGACGCCGCCCCAGCCTTGCCCGCCGTAGCGCGGAGGGCCCTGCCCGCGCCGCCGTGCGAGCGAGCGGGCGGGAGGAGGGAGCGGGGGAACGCCGCCCTCAGCCTGCCCTCCGTGAGAGCCGCGGCCGCGCCTCGCCGCTCGCCTCGGGCCGTGAGTTCACGCACTCACGGAGGGGGTCAGGCTGAAAGAGACTAAAGCGGGTCATCTGGTCCGCCCTCCCTGCTCAAGCAGAGTTCTCCTAGAGCAGATTACATATGACTSCGTCATGGCAGCTCCTGAATACCTCCAGTGAGGGAGACTCCATAACATCTCTGGGCAACCTGTTCCGATGTGTGGTCAGCCACTCAATAAAGAAGTTCTTCCTCATTATCAGAATGGAGCTTCCTGTCCATCGTATAGTCGTAGAACCGTAGAATATGCTGAGTTGGAAGGAACCCATCACGATCATCAAGGCCATATCCTGGCCCTGCACAGGACACCCAAGAATCATACCGGGTGCCTTAGAGTGCTGTCCATTTTTTTGCCCGGTGCCTTGTGCCCTGCAGGTTGCCACCACTGAGAAAAGTCTGCCTTCACCTTCTTGGCACTCCTCTACGCTCTGGATGTTATACACATTAATTGGGTCCCCTGTGGGAATGCAGTCCCCTCTCAGTCCGTTCTGCACAAGGGGGAATTTCTCCTCAGGGCAGGGATGCGTGTGTTGGACATTTCTGGTAGGTGGGAGAATGGGCAGTTGTGGTATTGGGGGTATGGTCTCGAGGCCATGGGGTGAGTGGTTGGTCGCTGGGGTGATGAGACAAAGGCTTGGGTGTTCCTGTGGGCTGGTAAGGACATTTAACCTCCAAGGTGTTATTTGTTTGGTCAATGGTCCCGGCTGCAGACCTGGCCCTGGTCAGTGATGGTGTTCTCCACTCTAAATCACAGGCTTGCCAACAGGCAACAATCTTCTAAGGGAGACTGCTGAGGGAAACAATTCAAAATGTTGAAAGCTCTTGAAGTGTCCCTCATCCATCTTGCCAGGGGCTCTCCTCAGGCAGTAAAGAATGTTGTCTTTGTGCTACACTTCTGTGACTGAGGGAAAGGTGAGGATGGCAAGCTTTTTTAAACCTTCTTTTTCCTCTAAATCAGGTTTCAGTGTGAACAAAGTTGGCCACAAGCTCCAGATTTGAGACTAGCTACCAGTTTAAGAGCCCAGTCCTGTTTAGACTGGTAACTAAATTGTTGGTCAGGCTATTTGGTATACATTGGAGAGCATTAGTTAAAGGTTTTCTGCTACACTTTCTTTGAATCTCCAGTTAAGTCTGAAATGAAAGCCTAATGAAAAGGCCAACCAAATACACATGTCTTTATATTATGTCCAGTTTTTAACACCCATTTTCACCCCTGGACCATAATCTGCTATGATCTGAACTGCAGAAGGATCTTGTACTGGAACTCGAGTGTTTCATTTAAAATAATAAAAAAAGGAATCTGCTGTCTGGCTAGTCAGACAGGCCAGAATGTTTTGGCCTGTGGGACTGCCATGAAACTTTTCCCCAAAAATCACCTTATCCTAAGCTAATAACAACAGTGATTGAAAGCATTAAGTGTCTGTGAGAAATGCTAAAGAGAAAAATACTCCAGGAAGAGGATTTTTCATTCCATGCCATGATACGTGTCCATGAGATCTCTTTCCCTAAAGGTTCTGGCTGTCTTTTGCGCATGTTTATAAGTTTATTCTTTACGTAAGCATAGTGAAACAGCATTTATGTAACCCGAGACTTTGATACGCTTCTTTTTTTTTTTTTTTTTTTTTTTTTTTTTTTTTTTTTTTTTTTTTTTTTTTTTTTTTTTTTTTTTTTTTTTTTTTTTTTCTAGAAAGCCAAGGGTATATTGTTCATTTTCTGTTGAGGACTTATCAGCTTGCACATAATATCTGAAGTTAGATATGCATAGATTAATTAGTAGTGAGGGTTCAACTGCAAAAGTCCTCCTCTGAATGTTGTTTATTTTGCACAAATACGTTTGTTGAGCTAGTGAGTTTCTTTAAAAGTTTTTCCTTAAAAAAAATCTACTTAAAGATTTTTTGAAGGTGAAGCAGCTTGAAGATTAAAAGAAGGGTTTGGTAGGAACAGATATAGATAATTCCTACCTTTGTACATTTTAAACTAATGTGTATAGTTGTTTCCTTTTCATGTTTCTCATAGGTCTCTGCTTCTCCATAWAGGGAAAAGGAAAAACAACAGTCTTGGTAATGTCTCTGGGAGGTGCTGTTACTGTTCCAAAAGGCCATTGGGACTGTAAGATTTCCTGCAGGGGTTCTAACATCTCCTCATAATGTCCTGGCCACTTGAAGTGGCATCCATGGCCAGCCAAAGCCATCAGTGGTCTTTGGCTTTCATCAAGGCCATAAACAAAATCCCTCAGGGATCTCAGCAGAATGCTCTTGTGAATATGTCTTCCTGATACTCAGGCAAAACCAATCTTTTGAATATGATATATGATGTGTTGATGTTCCAGCCTAAGGTTTACCAGTATAAAAGATACCTTTATGAAATGTTACCTACAAGCAAACAAAATTGTACGCTGTGTTGTATAYTCTTAGCATATAAAAAGTGTAACAATTCATATGTCAAGAATGCACAGCAGTTATATTTTTCTATAAATACATGTTTTTTATGAGTATATACATTTAACATAAATCTTCTAGATCATTACTTACACCATGACAGATTTTGGAATTTATGTGAAATTTGGGGTTGAAATATTGGACTGTGAAAGGAAAACTAGGAATCCAAAACATTTGCTGCTATTTCTGTTTTGTAAATTTAAACCRAATAAAATAAATTTTAAAAGTTGTGCCTAAAAACGTTTGACAATGAAAAATGATGCTTAATGCTGACATGATCAGTTGTCCCAGAGAAAATGGAGTTTAAAGCTGAACTGTTAGCAGATCATGCACTAGGAAGGTAGCAGCTAGTTTAATTATTGAGGCAAGTCCAATACAGAGTCAAAGTAAAAAGCACAGCAGCAGAGGACAACACAGTTTTATAGCTGACTGTAGCATGTTTTTTCCTTTCCTGCCTGTGGATGAAGGGTAGGTTCCTAGAAGGAAGTAAGTGCAACTGTGTGTTTAGACTGTGGAGAAAGCAAAGATCCTGTGCAGGGTGGAAATTCTTTTTCTGTCTATTGGGATAAGAAATTCTTAATTGTATGTGTTAAAGTCCTTGCATTGAAAGGACTCAGTGGACAAGTGTGCAGCTCCGCAGCCCTGAGGCTGTTCTGCTGGAGAGCAATAGAGCAGCTGCTCAGTGATCAGAGTAGAGGGATCCTTTCCTCCTTGAAGGACACTTGATCTGTCCTCTTATCCTGCTTAGCCTTGGACAATGGAGCATGCCTTAAGATTTGTCACTATACAGGCTTTATATGCATACAGCAGAAGGTTATTTACATCTGTGTGCATTTGGCTCTATATTTACCTATTGGTGTATGTTCACGTTCATTTGCATGAYGTTGTCTGTCCCGTTCTGTGGAGGACCTTGAACTAATGTGTATTTCCATCCCTTTGTTAAACCATACAATGTCCTCCAAACCACGCCAGATTGCACTGTTTCTGTTTTACATGGTGATAATGCGAGTACCTGAAATGTAGGATGGTTAGGGTAGAGTCACGCTTTGAACTAGAACAAAATGCAGGACTTTTAATTACCCTGGCTCAGTTTACCACCTGGCTACKGCTTTTCAGTCACAGTAATATTATGGATGATTTTATTTTATCATTATGGATTTGGGTTTTTTTAGGTTTTCATGCAATTTAGTCTATGCTATGTCATGCATCATTAGAAATAGTGTTTTCATATTGATTCTTTAGTTTGGCACACTGCCATCTAGCTGCGTGCTTCCGTCAGCATTTCGGTAGTTAGTGTGATGGTAGGACTGAGGTGAAACATCTGACAGCTAAGATTTACTTGAATTCATTTGAAATATGCTTCAATAGTCAAGTTTCTGATGGGAAGAAGGAACAAAATTAGGAAAAAAGTATTATTACTGTTACAATTCATACAGTGATGGCTTATATATAAAATTTTGAGGCAAATGCTGGCATGAACATTCTTTTTAGTCTGAAAATATCTGATAGTAAGGTTGGCAACATTAGTGCAAAAATCAGGATTACCCAGTACGTTTTAATAGTTAGAAATTTTGTAAAAAAAAAAACCAAGGGAAAACTGTCAATATGTAGGCTGCAAATTTACTGATTTTTTTTTTTTTTTTTTTTTTTTTGAGGAAGTGAAAGCTGATTGTTACAATAATTCTCTGTTTAGAAAATAAAATCCATGTGTTAGAGTGAAGATGTGAAAATAAGGTATATGACGAGAAGAACTTTGTATTGTTTAGAGTTGGGGGTGCATGTGACATCATTCAGAGAATCACAGCCAGACTGCAAAAGCATTGAGTATTTCACCAACRCAGAAACTATGTGCTTTAAACTTTGCTTTAAATGAAGCTTTTAAACTCTAACATTTACTGACCTGTTACCTTATTGTTGTATGCCTCACGTAAAGCCAGAAGAAGAAAGAGGAGAATACGTAAGTGATGTCTAAAGATGATGAAGAATAGTAAGGCATTAAATGAAGAACAAGATTTTTATCAGAACTACTAATCCTTGAAAACAGACAGGAACTCTCTTTTTGGCTCACTAACCCTTATTTTCTCAAGATATATCTAACTGCCCTTCAAAGTTCATCTCAGACAATCACATCAACAGCTAGGATATAGCATCTTCAGAAAGGTGCAGAACTGGGAGGGTGGCAGCAAGACACGTCAAGTCAACTGTTGCCTTCCTCCAGTCAGTGTCTGTGKTGTAGTCTTAACTGTGCATCCTGATAGTAAACCATTGCAGCAGGTCTCTGAACTGATTTGTCCCATTTTTTCATGGACAGAAGAAAACTTAGTAAGTTTAAATCCAAGCACCAATTGGGCTCAAAAGTTCCTCTTAAAGGACTGAAA